ATGGCTGGAGGGGGAAGGGGAGACAGACTTGTTAGATTTAGGCCATGAGGCCTTCGCTATGGCCAACCATTTGGAATGCCTTAAGGATTGTCAGTCAGCACCTTCCTCCTCCAAGTTCCATCCCACCTGCCCCCTCTCTTTTCTAAGTTGCCTTAAAAGATAGTATATGTGAATGAAGACCCCTCTTTATAGCCATTCAAGTAGGCAGACAAAAAAAGAAGAAAGGTCGAAAAGAAGTTATCTTTTTTTTAACATTTACTTTGGGATTAATTCTTCAAGAAAATATAACAATATAGCAATGCTAAATGTGAATGCGCCTAAACAGAGTTTCAAAATTGATAGAACTTAGAAGATAAGTAGATAAATCCACAATTATAGTCAGATATCTTAAAATCCCTCTCTCAACAATTGATAAAACAAGTAAATGGAAATCGGTAAGGTCATAATACACTTGAACACTACAAATCAACTGACCTAATTGATATTTGTAGAACACACCACCCAACAACAACAGAAAATACAGTGTTTTCAATTGCACATGGAACATTCACTAAGTTAGATCATATTTTGGGCCATAAAACAAATCTTAATACATTTAAAAGGATTGTAATCATATAAAGAATACTCTTTCTTCACAACAGAATCAAAACAGAAATTAAACAGAAATATGTCTAAAAAATCACCCAACATCTAGAAATTAAATACTATTCATATAAATAACGCAAGGGTCAAAGAAGAAAGCAGAAGGTAAATTAGAAAATATTTTGAATTAAATAAAAATACAACATATCAAATCTTGTGGGATGATCTAAGCAGTGATTAGAAGAAAATTTAGAGCATTATGTGGTTTTATTAAAAAAAAAGAAAGATATTTAAAATCAATAATCCAAGCTTTAACCCTAAGGAACTAGAATGAGAAGAGATAAATAAAGTCTAAAGTGAGCATAAGAATAAAAATTATGAAGAGCAAAAATGAATGCAGTAGGATATAGACCAAAAATAGAAGAAAAAAAGCCAAATAAAACCAATAAAGTGGAGGACTTACATTACCTGTTCTGGAGGCTTCTATAAAGTTATACTAATCACAACAGTGTGATATTGGTAGATGGACAAGCATACAGGTCAATGGTACAAAATAGAGAGTCAAGAAGTAGATCCATACATATGTGGTCATTTAAATTTCTACAGTCATTAAGTGAGGAAACGATAGCCTTTTCAACAAATAGTGCCGAAACCAATGAATATCTATATGGAAAACAAACAAACACACAAAAACTGAAAACCTTTATTCTTACTCCACACATATAAAAATTAACTTAAAATGATCTTAGATCTAATTTAAGAGCTAAAACTATAAAAAATTCTAGAAGAAAACATAGGAGAAAATCTTTTGATTTTGAGGTAAGCCAAGATTTCTTAAATAGGATACAAAATGCATGGATCAAAAGGAGAAAAATGATAAATTGGAATTCATTAAAACTAAAAATGTTTGATCTTCAAAATACATTATTAAGAAAATTAAAAGGCAAGCCATAGACTGGGAGAAAATATTTGCAAAACATTTTTGATAAGAGAGTTTTATCCAAAATACATAAAGGATTTTACAATTCTCCAAGATGACAAACACCGAATAAAAAAGTCAGCAAAATATGGGAACAGATAGTTCATTAAAGTAAATTTTAAAATAACTTAGAAGCACATGAAAAGATGCTAAACATCTTTAGTCATCTGGAAAATGCAAATTAAAACTACAAGAAGATACCATACAGATCCATTAGAATGGCAAAAATGTAAAAGATTAGCACAATACCAAGTTCTGTCTAGGATGTGGAGTAACTAGCACCCTCTTACATTGCTGGGAGAAACACAAAATTGAATAGCCAGTATGGAAAAGTTTGACCGTTTCTGATGAAGTTAACCATGAATTTACCACATAATCCAGCAATTCCATTCCAAGGTATTTACTGAAAGACACATTCACAAAGACTTATATTCATAGAAGTGAATGTTCATAGAAGCCTTACCTATAAATAGCAAAAACTGCTAACAACACAACAATCATCCATCAAGTGATGAATAAATAAATTGTGGTATATCCATTTGATAGAATATTGCTCGAGATAAAAAGAAATGAGCTTCTGATGATACACGCAACAAATGGAGAAATCTCAAAAGCATTATTTTAAGTGAAAGAAGCTAGTCACAGAAGTCTACAGAATGCATCTTTTCATTTATATGACTCTCTAGAATTGGCAAAACTATAATGACAAGCAAAAAATCAGCTGGGATACAGAGAGTTGACTAACTGCAAAGACACATGAGGGAACTTTTTGGAATAACAGAAATATACTATATCTTAATGGTGGTAGTGGCTATACAATGCTACATATTTGTAAAAAGTTCTTCACATAAAATAGGTAAATTTTTAAAAATCATATCTTTCATCTATTGATTCACCTAATATTTTGTGACTGTCTCTCATGTGTACATTCTGTCTTTGCTCTACTGGGCAATGGATTCTAAAAATGTCTTTTGGTGGACCTCAGAGTTGAGTCCTCACGGGCTTTTATGGAGTTTATGGCATCTAAAGGGGGAGTAAGAGCTGTGTGAGCATTCTGTTAAATGGATGTTGGAAAAATAGTTTGGGAAATGGGGATTTAGATAAGAGCTTCAAAACAAGAAATATCCTTTAGAAAATGCAATGGGCTATCAATTTTAGTGAGAATATTTTGTTGTTATTGTCACTCAGAGTGATTTGTATCAGTCCTAAGTCCAGAATCCTTCCAATAAAAACATCCTGAAATAATTTATTAAAATGTTTGTACTAACATTGTGTAAATAGATGAATTTTCTCATTGATAGTTACTTTATTTTCCTGGTGAGCAAACTGAGCTTCAAAGAAATACCCCCAGAGTCAGGTGTAGAAGCAGAAAGTCTGGGACCTAATTTCATTGATCTTTTCAGTGCCTCATACCTTAGCAGAATGTCTAACCAACTTGTTTTTCTATTTTCAGACTCGAAAAATAGAATGTAACAAGTGGATATTCTATTCTTCAAAACAACAAATAGCTATAAAGTTTTTTGGGTCCTGTATGACTACAAATACATGCTCTGGTAAAATATATGAGCTGTGGTTCTATAGAGGCAGAAATTTTAATGTCAAAGTCCCTATTTCCAAAGTAATTAGCTGTTTGTGGAGTGTGTGTGTGTGTGTGTGTGTGTGTGTGTGTGTGTGTGTGTTTAGAGGGTGAGATGGGGTGGTCTTCTGACCTTGAGGCAGCTGCCATGGTCAAGCTCAAGTATCAGCCAGAGCAGCTGCAAAGTTAATCTACCAAATAAGGAGACATTTATTTGGAAATTCCTGCTCCCTAAACAACTCCTATTAAATGGTTTGGACAAATTCTTCCATCCAAGGTCACTTAACCTCCCTGAGAAGAAAGAAAGGGGAACAGAAACATTACTTCTCCCACTTCTGAAAAAATCTAATTGCCATTGACATTCCCATAAAATACCCAATTGTCCATGGGGGTGGAATGGGAGTTGAGGCAGTCCCTGTGTTAACACCCAGGTATAATTTTCATGTAAGTAGTGTAGGAAGAGGAAGGGCAGCAGATGGAAGCAGATTGAACCAGGCATCCCCAGGAAGTGAGGCTCATAGAGACTGCTTTCCAAGAGAAGCCAACCTGTATCAAAAAGTCTTCCCCACCTTATTATTGTCGTGTGTTCTGAGGTTAACTAGGGCCTCGTGTAATTTTTTTCAAAGTAAAATTTAAAATTAACACATGACATAGGTCAAATATCATTTCCACCAAATTCTTTGCATTGACTGAGTATATAGCCGTCATGGCCCAGAATGGTGGAACTTAGAGGGCAATTTTGTAGCTAAAGACCAGTTCATGTAAGAAGCTTTGCATAGTTCGACCTGTGACCTCCTTCAAAAGATTTTCTGGGAGGAATGGGGTGTGTGAACAGTTTCAAAGTGTATCCTGCAGAAGGATGTCTTCTATGAGATCTAACTTGATATAGGGCTGAATTCAAACCTAGTTGAGAAATTATTTTTTCTTTGAGAATGAGAATGGGAAGGCAACAATGCTCTTCTGATCTATCAAAAAGCAAAGTCCCCATTCCCCACTGGTGGAGGGAATTGATGTCTAGTTCTTGCCATGACCATCTTCTAACACACAATCTGCCTATGTGATTAGGTGAAGAGAGAAGGTACATGGTAAAGTAGAGATTGCATGAAATCACAGGCAGCAAAAGTAAAGGCAGGTGAATGGCCATGAGGAAAGCACCTGGTAATAGAACACTGGTCTTAAAAGCTTTGCAGTCTGGCTGATGAGGTCTGAAGTGAGTTTACAGACGAGCACGTAAACTGACATGCTTCTGAGTTTCTGAAGCAACCTCATTCCCTGACATGGGACCAGTGAATCAAGGAGAACTTTATATCACACTCTAAATGTTCAGGGGAAGACTAATGATGAAGTATGAAATTCCAACAAGCTAACCTTGCATTGGACAAATACTAATTTAGTGAGGTGATGAAGGTGTATCAGGCCTGCAAAAAGTTCAGAGGACAGGAGTCTGATACTTTGGTGAGGTCTCTATCGATCTGTTCATATCTTCTTTCATGGATCAAAGAGTGGTACTCCATCATAAACAGATTTTCTTCTCTATGTGACAGGCCCTTTCTCAAACACCAACAACTACATAAGCATGGTTCTTTGCAAAACTGAATGTCAATTCACCCTACCTCCCCCTCATCCCCACTTGCCTCACCCTCATCCCACCAAACAGGCACATGAATGTCAGTGTACATGACATGGGCTCAGTGGATGGCAGACAAGAAGCATGACTCTCCCCCTGCAGACTCAGAGAAGTATTACAAGGATGTATCAACCAAGCCCCAAACCTGACTTCTCAGAATGTAAGCTAGACTCTGCAGACAATTATTCAGATCCACATTAGATTATTCCAGTAACGCATGGAGTTTTCTCTCTCCTCTTTTGCCCCACTGAGTCCATGGCCAATACGTCCTCCCACTACTCTTCCACATAAACAATGACAGCAGGAGGAGGTAAGCACCTGAGCAGACTATAGGGGCACAGGTTTCTGGCTAACTATTAACCAGTGGAGGCAGGTCCCACTCACACACAGTTAAAGACATGACAGGAATCCACAAAGATCCCACTGCCTTTGCTGAGAAGACAGCTAATGAGGCAAAAAGGAACTGTATGATGGGAGCTTCCAGAAGAGTCAGTGTCAACCCTGTAAAAAGTCAATGAGCCAGAAATAGCTGAGGCCTTTCAGCACAGTCACCCTGAGTTGCTTCTGAGCTATAGGCACAGGGAGCTGGGTCTCAGGTCCAGCAGGGTCATTTACTAAAAGTTCATGGGATTTGAATCTTTAAATATAATTAATTAAACTGGTAACATTCAAAGGATTATTAAAGGAGTAAGATGTCAGTCCCTGAGCAAACCTCCCAACAGTAATCAAGAAAAGGATTGACTATGAGAGAGATGTCTTAAAAATAACCTGCTGTTTGTTGGCTTTATAACTTTTCTCTGGTTCTAATTCTTTACGGCTGGTATGTGAACATTGATCTCTGACTCTTCACTCATTCAGATCTCTCCTGGCTGCAATCCCCCTGATATTGCTGTACCCAGGGAACTTTTCTGTTAGGGCCCGCCTCTCCCAGGACAGACTGTAGAGTCTGAGGGTTCAAAGACAACTGAGAAATCACCTAGTCCAACTGCCCACTAGACCAAGAATTGCCTATGTATCCCCAACAGGAGTCATCTGGCCACCTCCTGGGCCCCTCTGGTGTAAGCAGATAAAATGCTGCTACTTAATCTATGGAAATTCCCACAGCATCATGGATGCCTTTTGAAACTGCTCCCCCAGTTAATGGCCATTTGGAGGGCCCATTGTCACTGGATTACTGAATAATTGCCCACGGAGTCACTTCTGAATCAGGATCCCCTCCATGCAGGATTAGATAATGGAGCAATTCTCCTCAGGAAGGTGCCTTGAGGTGATTGCATTGTGGGAGCTCCATGCCACAGTATTGTCTAGGAACTTGGATCTTTTTAGGTGGCTGAGCCTCAAGGTGGGGAGAAATTCATCTCTGGGCCTACAGAAGAGAAACATGATAAAAGAAACTACATGAGATGTTAGTCAAGGGAAAAGAAAATGTTTCCTACCCATTAAAGTAAAAATCAAGCACTGAATCTGACTCCAGATGTAGTGAAGTATAAGAAAAGCCAAAAGTGCTAGGCAGATTGCTAACTCCTGTGAGGAAACAAGAAGAAAACTTCACTGATATTATCACAAATAATTTTCCCAACATCATTCAGAAGGACTTTTCATTTTGGTTCACAGCCCTATTTTGTGCTCCTCACAGGGTCTGTTCAGAAAACAGCTCCTCCTCACTCAACTTCCACTAAAGATGTAAGAATTCCCACAAACTTTCTAAGAATAATCAAAGTCCACTCCATTTTTTAAACCTGAAATCCACTTCAAAAGTTTTCCTCAAACCAAACATTTATTTTTGTCATTTTCATCTGTGAAAATAAATATATGGCACAAAAGCCTGTTTGTTACTTTTAATTTTCCAAAAGTCATTTGGTTTTTTACCTCATGAAATGAAGGTTCACTTGAGCAGATACAGTCAAGATAGTAGCTAATTTTCTAATTTTTGAAAAAATATTGTCTGTTGTTGGTAATCACCTGATGACCCAGGAGCATGAACGAGAGAGTATTTGTTTGACAGCCCCCCTTGTCTGGGTGACACTCCCATCCACACAGCATTTAAGAATGCTCAAGAGTATTGAGTAACCACGAACATTCTTCCTCACGAAGAAATTGTAGATTTCTTCTGGGGAATCTTTGAGCCATGCAAACATCTAACCAGTGTTAGGAAGAAGGCACTGATGTCAATCTTTCATTATAAGAAAAAGGAAAAAAAAATAAGTGTCCCTTTTTATAAAATTCAATGGAAGAAAACCTGTGCTTTTCTGCTCCCAGGAGCACATGCTTAGGGAAAGCACTAGTTTAATCAAGCCAAGACTATCTTTGTCTAGCTGTAGCCAGCACACTCCCAGAATCCATGAATCACGGGTTATTTTCCAGAGCAGACTTAGAACTCAATTCAAACATACTCTGTGAGGGTTGCTGGGAAGGGCACAAAAGCAGGTCATTAGTTTTTGGAAGCCCAAGGAGGACATAGAGTCAGCTGAGCAAGGGCAAGTGGTCTTGCAACGGGAACAGGGACACCAGCCAGTCACTGCAGGAAAGCAGCTTTCAACTGCATGCCTAAGGGCCAGGCTCTCTGGACCCCCTCCCCTGGGAAGCCAGGTGTGAGGTCACCACTCATGCACAGAGTGAGGTCAAATTGATTTTTATTTTTTGTTTCATGTAAGGTTTAAAAAACAGGTCAACATGAGGCTTAAACAATATGCCAGGGTTGGGGCTGAGCTGTTCCTGAGACTTTCCCAAGGCCATGGTTTCTGTCTGCCCCTTAGGAAGCCCTGGTTACTAGCAGGACCCAGGGTGGCACAGGGGAGCATTCAGACACAAGAGCATCAACACTAACCTGAGAAGTAGCTGCAGGTGAACTAGTTTCCTTACCACTCACTGCTGCTCTCTCACTGGCTGCGGCTTCTGCCACTTCTGCCTTCTGCACACTCGAATCCTCAGAACCAGGAGGCCCTATGTGCCCCAGACCTTCGCTCACTGGGGTGGAAGGTGGGTTGGTGGTAGCTTTCCGGGTTTGGCCTTTATACCAACTAGGGTAAAGCAAGGGATCCGCAGTGTCCGTTGCTGCAGGGACTGGAGTTTCAGACTCTGTGGTCTGCAGAGAGCCAGTGGATACAACCTCCCCCTTAATCAGGACAGATACATTCAAAAGTAAAACAAGAAAAAGAAGAAGAGGGGAAAAAAGGCAGTCGATTTTAGTTCCCTTCAGGTTTGACAATTGTGAGCTCTGTGTGCAGTGCCTGCTTCAGTGCATGCTTTAGTTCATCCCACCCTTGGCAAGCGCTAAGGGCAGAAATGCTAACAGTACCCTCTTCATAGCCTCTGAAGTTCCCCTCTTCTTTTCTGGGCTTGTCTTTCACAAGACGGTAGCCTGACCAGGAGCCCTAAAATGAAGGTTACTTACAAAACATTTGATATGGGAGAAAGGTCAAACTATTGACCAATTTAATTTTTAATATATGTGGGCCCCTGAAACCTCTTTTCTAAAACCAGCCATTGAGCTTCTTCCCATTTAGTTATCACCCTTCTTTCAGTTTCAGTGCAATTGGTATACTCAGATTTTCAAGATTTTAGGAACTATAAATAACAGTATTTTAGCCTGGTTGTCTGTGGAGGCAGAGCATAGATGATATACTTCCATCCCCCAGGTCTCGCTCTAAGGTTTTGTTTATGTAGGTAATTTCAATCCACTGTGAAAGCAGGTGCAAAAACAGGGCTCATTTGTGATGAGTCTGCATTGTCCACAAACTCAGCAGGTTGGGAACTGTCTGCTGAAGGTGTCATGCAGTCAGCACAAAGGCTTGAAAACTGGCCAATGACATCTTAGAAATTTAAGGTCAGCCAATCAGGTACAACATTTGGGATGAGCTAATTGGCTTAGAACATTTTTAAACAATTCCGTCAACACATAATCTTATCAAATGACATACATAGAAAACGAGGCTTCATTTGCATACTGAACAAAAGTTGTATTTCAGGGTAAGGAAGAGGGACGTAAACTACCATAGCTTCTCTATTCTATATTATCCATAAAAAATATCAGAGTTTCAAAAGTACAATCGTTGTTATTTTTCACCCTAAGTTACATAGTCTCACCCTATACCTTATATCTATATTCAGAGCAGACCTAATCTTCATGAAATTGGCTCTCTATGAATATGTAACATATACACAATTTCCAGACAAAGATTGCCTCAAATTTGAGGGTGTTATTAATGGAAAACCATGTCAAATTAGTTATAACAACTGATCTGTTGAATAAGCTACAGGGGCTTTTCTCCCAGACATTGTGACTGTCCTGAAATCTTTTGTCTTCCACATACAAATGTCTGTCATAAAGTTATCTTTTCCTCAAGGCAGAATAAATTGTTTAGGCTGTTGGTCAAGGAAGCACACGGGCATGTCCTGTAGGAAAGAACTCATGAACGGTTACCTGTGTTACTGGGGCATCTGCAGTAGGTGGCAGGGCTGGAGGTGGCTCTGGAGAGGAAACAGGAAGTGTTGCTGGGGCAGCCTGGACCTCTGAGGCCAGCTGGGAGGGCTCCAAGGCTTTCTCCAGACTTTCATCTTCTTCTGATGGCTCTGTTCCAACATGTTCTACCTCTTCGATTTTTACTTCTTCTTCTTCTTCTTGTCCTTCTTCCTCTCTGTCTCCTCCTCCTTCCTCTTCTACTTCTCCCTCTCCTTCTTCTTCTTCCTCTTCATCTTCTGGTAAGGTAATGTATTTTTAAATCATTACAATGACCACTACAGCCATGAAAACAATTAATGGCCAGGGCTAGGGAAATCGTCTCTAACAGAACTTGACTATCGCCCAAGTATGCCATCATGCTGGAGTTTTTTGCTTCTAGTTAAATGTGGACAGGACACATGTGAAGGGGGCCAAACCATCACCATCCTCCTTTCTCCCCTCCCCAGTATGATGTCTAGTCCTCACCACCACCATGCACCATTCCCCTGACCCCCATTGTTACCACACACTGTCACATCTACAAGCTCCTGAAAGGTTAGGATTGTCACTTATTTATCTCCAACAAGTCAAATGAAAATGCAACTCTCTTCTTTATCTAGTTTTATTTTAATTGCTTACTTCCTTTGTTCAGTGAATGCTGACTTTTGCCACAATTAATGTCATCTTTTCCTAACCTGTCACTCTTAATATTCCCTCAGACAATAAGGAGAGACGATATTAATTTTTTAAAAGATCCATCCGGAAAATTTGCTTCTAAAGTTATATCTGTGGACACTAATACAGCTTCCTGGCATTAACAGTAGTCTAGCTGAGGTGCCTCATCACCTAGATGGGCTAGGATGGGTGAAGACCATCAAAGACTTGGTCAGCTCCAAGGTTATTTTCCTCTTTTCAGTGATTTCATTAGGATAAAATTCAGGAGTGGGATTTCTGGGCCAAATGGTAGGGATGCATTTATAACTCATAGAGTACATCTGGTCACATGGTCCAAGTTTTATTACCAGGTTGTGACTTATTCTTGACTTGCTACTATTCATGCTCGTGAAAGTTTAAGTGGATGAACTACACTATCTATCCAGATGTCTTCTATGTTTTATTTTTATCTCATCTCTAACCTTGCACCTGATGACATCTTACATAATTGTGGCTAACACCTTGTGGAGGGTTGAAATTGAGATTTCATCATCACCATCAACTATTAAGTGTTTGACTACCCAGAGTCAAATGCTCAATAATGGCATTATAATGGGCACTGTGATATGCAAAGCTAAATTAACACTGTCAACAAACTATATGATTTTGTAATGAAGTGGAGCTTCACATTAGATAATAATCCTTGTAAAATTGTCACCATCCATTCTGAAAGTGACTCTGAATCCACCTTTTCTTCCACTGAACTCTCTGCAGCTTTCACACACTTGCAATTTTGGCCAAATGGTCACAAGAATAACAAACCTCTGTAAAAATCAATTTCGCGTATTATTTTCTCTTCTCTATTGAGGTTGACTGTGAAGTGGTTCATGTTCTCATAACCATGCTCTATTTTCTCCATCTGAAATGCCTTCGATGCTTCAGAAATTCTGCAACAAAGACAAGTTGCTACTTTCTGTCACTGTTAACAGTTTTGATAGCCTTGGATAAAAATGAAGAGTATTGCATTTTTTCATAAAATGAAAATTACTTACTTTTGTAACAGGGTTTTGGCATTCTGTGAAAGCAAACAAAAGACAAGCCTACTTAAATTATTTTCATCAAGCATGATGTTGAGACTTAATTCTTTCCTTTGCTGACTCTGAAAATCTCATAGTTTAAATTTTAAATGCCATAAATAACTGCTCCTTTATACCAGAACCATCTTATATTTAAGCAATGTCATGGTCCCTTAAATATATGCTCATGAAATTGTTTAAGCAGATGGAGAATAAGCACATGATGAACTTATATTTTAGTTGGTAAATAGATCAGGATGAGATGTACATAACAAAAATGTGATGCCAACCACTTCTCCAACACCCATCTGCTTGGTTAGTTTCCTCTGATGCCAAAAGGAGACTTACCTGCAGAAACACTGCCATTTCTGGCTCATCCATGAACTGGATTCCTGACTCGACCAACTTTGATACATTCTCCAAATGATCAGAATACTTTTTGATCAGAGCACGGACATGTTCCAGTTTTTCCCCTTGAGTTCGGGTAATGACTTGGGTCATCTCATTCTTCCTCTCCTCCAGGATGCCATACAGGTAATCAAACTTCTCACAAAGTTCCTGTTTCTGTTTTTTGCAGCATTCCTATTAGTTGGGTTAGCTAATGTTAGAAAGTGTTTGAAAGAATGTCTATTTGGAAAAATCACCTGGACATTTTGGAAGATAAGAAACTATTTATGTAGGATACTTTTCCCTTAAGCTATCACTTACAGATACCTACTGTGTTGATACTTTGAAAATCCCACTTTTATCCAATTATGTGGCCAATCCAAAAGTAATCAAATTGGCTAAATGGATCAATTATTTTTCCATTTTCTGTTCTTTATAAATGGATAATTTTATAGAAATTAAGACAGGTTTTATTTTAAATTATATATTGGTTATATAGCTTATAGATTTATATTTTGCTTTGGAGTGTGTGTGTGTGTGTGTGTGTATAAGGAAAAAACTATGGTACTTCCTAGTTTGTACCCTCAGTCTTTCTCTGTCCTGTCTATACTGCTACTGTTGTAGTTCAGTCATCCCATGTAGATTCTGAAGCTTCCAATGGCCTCAGCATCTGGGAAGTCCCCTTCAAGCGCTTCTGTCAAATTCATTTTCCTGGGATACAGTGCTTTTTCTCTATTATGACTCCCCATTGCCTAAAGAATAACACTTTAACTTTACAACTGGCTTTCAAATCTTTTTATTACCTGATTCCAGCTTTCCTTCACCATATGTTACTCTTCTCCATCACATACCATGCCTGTGTCCAGCAAAAATTAATCACTCACTTTCTTTTCTCATATTCTGCCTCTGTTTAGAATGTTCTGCCCCAATTCACAGTTGCAAACGCTAAACTATCTTGAAGACTTGTTGAAATGCCACTTCTTCCTTGAGCTTTCCTTGATCTCTATGTTTGAATGTCATTTTTTAATCTTCTGAAATTCCATAATACTTATCATTTGTGGCATATACTTGCATTCAGGTGCTTTATTTATCTAATACTGTCATAAGAGAGTGAAATATTGAATCTAGTCTTGAATTCCTGGAGGGAAAGGCTGTATGGGAAGCCAGACTTGTCCATTTTCACCGTGTGACTAAAGCATCTCCAGTACCAACCAGCTCACTTTATACTCTGAGTCCGTGTTTAAATCCAGTTAGGCCTTTTGGTGTTTCAAACTCCAGTAAGCTTGATGTGCATCTGTGTGTACCTGTCTCCTTGGACCTGACCATGTGGGTCCAGGACCTTTATGGCTGAGAGCAGGTTTTGACCCATGATGATCCAACCCAGCTCTCCTGCCTGGTGGGTGCTTCCTAGACCCAGCCAATTGATCTCTGACATATCCGACCTTTGTACGATCCTTATTACCTGTTCTTTTATTTAGTAAACATTATTCTCTTTGATATCACATATTTATTTCTTTACATGAGTTTCTTAAAAATCTAAATAATAATCTCCTTGGGGATAGAATCCGGGTCTTCCTAGGACACATACCACCTTGGACAGATGTTCAATAAATATCTGCTGAATAAATTTTTTTTTAAATCACGTTACATTTTTCCCCAATTTCTCTACTATTCTCAGACTAAGGGGGGAAAAGGAATGACTTAAAGGAAATTGTTAATTATGAAGATGCTCCACAAATGTGCAAGCAATACATCCTTCACTCCGCTGCCTCCACTGGATAATATAGTTAGTTCTCATAATAGTATCATGTCCAGACATGAAAATTGCTGGACTTACCAAATTCCCATCCGTTTCCAGCCCTTTAGCTTAAGATTTAGACTATTATGCAGCCTAGGAACTGAAGCCTGTTAGTAGCTTCCCAATCAAGCTTCCTTTCTCTATCTTACCTCCTGTTCTAAGCTTACAAGCAACTATGTGCCCACTGCATTCCTGAAATACGCCTTTGATGTTCAGATGCTATACTGCTTACTGTGACTAAATGATGGTTTCTAGCTTATTTTTCTAAAGTGAATTGTGCACATAAAACATTCAGAATAATGAGTATTATATTAGTATGTGAAACTAACAGAATGTCTTTGTTTCATAACAGTTTTCTCCTATATGATTTAATATGTGTGAGAAGTTTGTGAAAGCCAAATTCTTTTCAGTGAAGCTAAAGTGAAGTCATGTGTCATGGACGAGGGTGGTGATATTAGCTCAGGAAGTGGTGCCCAAATTTGGCCAAAAAAGATGAACAGGATTACAGGAGGGGATGAAAATGTGTAGAGTCTTGGTAGCTGTCAAAGTAATAGAACAAGGGCCCACACAGCATGTCCAGACATGAAAATTGCTGGACTTACCAAATTCCCATCCGTTTCCAGCCCTTTAGCTTAAGATGTAGACTATTATGCAGCCTAGGAACTGAAGCCTGTTAGTAGCTTCCCAATCAAGCTTCCTTTCTCTGTCTTACCTCCTGTTCTAAGCTTACAAGCAACTATGTGCCCATTGCGTTCCTGAAATACGCCTTTGATGTTCAGATGCTATACTGCTTACCGTGACTGTGTGATGGTTTCTAGCTTATTTTTCTAAAGTGAATTGTGCACTTAAAAAATTCAGAATAATGAGTATTATATTAGTATGTGATAGTAGAAGAATGTATTTATTTCATAAAAGTTTTCTCTTATATGATTTAAAATGTGTGAGAAATTTGTGAAAGCCGAATTTTTTTCAGTGAGGCTAATGTGAAGTCAAGTGTCATGCTAGTGTATTTGCTCAGGTCAAAGATTAGATCACTTAGTTGGCCCATATAATTTTTACTTAGTGGCTTAAGTGGAATACCATGTGTTATTTTATTTCTATTCTGGTTTTTAATGATTTGTACTTTATTGATTTTTTATAAAATTGCTATCATTTTAATAGCAACTACCATTTGCTTATACTTTACAGTTTAGGAAATGCTACTCCATGGCTAGACTTTAAGCAGCTCACTTTTTCCCCAGGCACTTATTGCTGTCTAAATGATCTTGTTATTCATGTGTTTATTATCTATCTCTTCTACTAGAATAACATCTTCCTAAAAAGCAGGCGCCTCTTCTGTTTAGTTCACCAATATTTTCCCAGCATTACCTGTGGAGACAATGCCCACATGAATGAAATCTAGGAATGGTCAATCCTCATTCAAAAGTTTCTATTTTGTTCTGTCCCAAAGAAATGGCTATTTAACTGGATATCCCAAGCCTCTTCTTAATTCAGTGCTCAAAAGAAAAAAATCCAGAAATAGCTATGCAACCCTAAGGAAAACATTTTACCTCATGACAATTTTTTTTCTTAATCTGTACATTAAAGGATGGGATTAAATAGTTGCTCAGATCCCTTCTTTCTCTACAGTTCCAATATTTTACAGTTTATGAAATGCCTCTTTATCTCTAAAATGCCTCTTTTGATTCCTGGCAAGTTTCAAAGTGGTCATTTACAGCACTAAGATATAAATTGCATGCTCTAGCCCTGCAATGTCAGCTTGGCAATGTGCCATGGTCACGATAGGAAAAAAACCTGAGACAGTTGTGACCACTGCTCTTACCATGTAAGGAGCGTGGCTTTGTGACCAAAATAGAGCTGAAGATAAGCTTTTAGCCCCACCACTTGTCATTGAGCAACTGGCTCTGCCAAGCCTCCCAGTATTCCTATGTCTACCACGTTCCTCCATCGAGATACACTTGTTTGGAGCTGCAGCTCTGGGTCTGTAAGTGCCCACTCAGCTTCACTTGAAATACAGAACTTCAAAATTCCCTTCAATAAGCAAAAATAAAGGTGTGAAAAGTAGACAGTAGATTAATAATGCCAGAGAAAGAACTCTATTAAGGTAGGAAGATTCTCTCAAGGAAATCAAACCCAACTCCTCACTTATAAAGGCCCATAAAAGCACTTGGAAGAAGTCCCAAGAGTGCAGACCAGGGTGAGAGCCCAGGTCTCTGATAAGCTGCGCTAGAAAAGAGACTGACACAGTAGAAAGACATTGTCTCTCCAGGCACATGGCTGGAGTTCAGCCCCTCTCTATCCATCCGGCCTCTGTGCTGTGTTCAGTGGAACAACTCTACTCAATGGCCTTGGGACTCAAGACTCCCAAACTCATGCTTTTTTTCCTACCATATTGTATCACCCCCACTTCATGTTAAAAAAATAATGTTATAATTTATGAAAATTCTAATGCTTACTCTTGGAGTTCTTGGCATTAGGGGTTTTGTGGATTAGTTCTGATCATTTAAAAGCTCCTTGAGTAAACTCCCTGAAGGCTGAGGGCCAGGTGAGCCCATCCTGACTCAAGCCCCATGGTTCAGTAAAAACCATAAGACCAAGGCAAGCTGAGCAGCTGTTCAATTCAGTCCCATGTGCTCTGGGTAGTCAGTATGTTTCCCGGAAGAGGTTCAGTCTCCCTTGCTTACCAATATTTCAAGTTACCATAAAGCTTCCTAGATAAAGATAGAACTTCCATTCATTCTCAAATATTCCCTCTGCAGGGACTTGCTTCACCCTCCTATCATAATCAACCAAGAGCCTGACATGCTCATTCTGACTCCTTTCAAAAGTTGCTCCAGATGCTCCAGTGGTTTAAATGACCATGAACATCATTAGAATAAAATGACTCTGAGGATGATACAAGGTGACACTTATGGAGCCCCTGGCCTGTGCCTCTTACACCAATTTAGTCATCATGACAACACTGTGAAGAAGGTATTATTATCCCCAGTGTATTGTTACAGAAATTAAGGGACAGAGAGTTGAAGTAACTACATGCCCAGGGTCCTATAATTAAGTGACAGTGCTCTGATATGCACCCCTATGTTCATTGCAGCATTATCTATAATAGCCAAGTTTTGGAAGCAGCCCAAAAGCCCATCAGTAGATGAGTGGATAAAAAAAAGCTGTGGTACATTTACACAATGGAATACTGTTCAGCCATTGAGAGAGAGAGAGAGAGAGAGAGAGAGAGAAAGAGAGAGAGAAAATCTTACTCCTTGTGACAGTATGGATGGACCTGTAAAACATTATACTAAGTGAAATGAGCCAGTCAGAGAAGGACAAGAATCATATAATTTCACTCATATGTGGGATCTAATGAACAAAATGAACTAATGAGCAAAATAAAGACAGATTCATAGATAGAGAGCAGGCTGACAGCTGTCCGGGATTGGGGGTTAGGGGATGGGGGAGTAGAGAGATTGAACAAAAAAGAAAAAACACATGGACCCTGATGTGCGGTGATTGCTGAGGGTAGGTTGGGATGTGGGGAGGTGTAGAAGAGTGTAAGGAGGGATAAATGGTGATGGATGGAGAATTGAGGTGGTGAACACACAATACAGTGTACCAATGATATGTTGTCGAATTGTACATCTGAAACCGTGGAGAATTGAGGTGGTGAACACACAATACAGTGTACCGATGATATGTTGTAGAATTGTGCATCTGAAACCTGTATAATTTTGTTAACCAGTATCACCCTCCCCCACAAAAAATACGATAAAAATCAAACTCTGAAATCTGTTCTCTTAAGCACATGTTATATTGCTGTTTGAATACTGCCTTAAAAATGAGAGCATGCTTATTAACATGATTCTTATTATAGTCATGGGCAATGTTCCAAAGCTGTTTGAGTAAAATCACTATTTTGGAAATACAGTGGATTTTTTCTCACTGCAAAATTATTAGAGAACTTTATTAAAGTTGACATTTTTCAGATATTGCAAATGCTCAAAATCAAATATTTATTATTCAATTTGTAGCTGTTTCCCCTAGGCAGGTATCCAGGAAAACAGGATTATTTCTAACCTGCCTGCCTACTAGCCTCGGGAAGGCCAATATTAGTTTTCTGCTCTCTTGGGGTCCAGTGATATAGGATAAGTGCCATTTACAAAGACTATATGGGGGAGCTTACATTTTCTAGAGATGAAGAATGAAAGTCAAGCACATTTTTCTGGAAGCAGAGTGCTCCTGAAGTACACTTCTCCACTCCCACTAGAAGCCCCCCTCCTCAGTCCCAGCCTGTCCCAGGACATTTCAGGGCCTGGTAAGGTGAGGGAAGGTAGCCCCAGACCTTGCCCTTACAATCCAGAGCCCTGGGAATGCCTCAGCCTGAGCCACATCAGCCAGGATGGCTAGAAGGACAGAAGGCTCTTTCATCTGTCATCAGAACACAGCAACAGGGAAAATGCCACTCCCCTCACACAGCTCAGATTGCCCTTCTGTGACTCTGCCACTCTCATCATCAATGGGAACTCACCTCAACTGAACACATTACTTTTAAAGGGTAACAAGGAGTCCACAATGTGATTTCTCCTAAGCTCAGCAGCTCACCAGGGCCAGTCCAGGGCCAGGTGCCTGGCCAGGCCAGCTCTGCAAGACACTGCATGATTAGGGACAGAATTAGACATGTAAAGGGAATGGACACTTGACCAAAGGGCAGATGTCAGGCTCCTCGTGGGGAGAGGCAAGTAATTAGGGAAGGACAGAGCCCACTCCAGGGGCTGCTCCATTTCCTGTCCCTCAGGGGTTCCTCACCAATCAGAAAGGAGAATTCTTTAACAACAGTACCCCACCCCCTGCTCCACAGCCACCAAAGGCTTTCCAGCAGGTGGTGAGCAGAGCTGAAAGGGAAACAACAACCCCAGGCAGAACCAGGGACACAGGAGCTCTAGGACCCTGCCCTGGGTACAGAATTCACCTGCTTGGCAAGGTAGGACAATTTCACTCTGAGCCAAGGACCCAGTGTGCTTCACTAGCTGGCTTCTGGGCCAGCAGGAAGTGAACCGCTGGTGCTTCACCCACTGATAAGGTCTTACCTGTACAGGAGAGCACCTTAGTGTTTACAGGTGTACACAATGTGGCCATTTTGTGGCAGCATCTCTGTCCTCGGGCCCCTTCACATGGGGGATATTGGCCTCAAGTGGGAATCCTAAAATCAGATACTTCCATGGGGCTCTGAACCAATCCCTGCATTTCCTGGTAAGCCACCTAAACTGATCTGAAGGAACTGTGCTTACCTGAGCCATATTCACTCATTCATTCACTCACCCTTACTTATTTTATTGGATATTAAAATGTCAAGCTTGTTTTAGAAAAATGTGGAATGCAGAAATATATAAGGAAGGCATTGAAAATCATCTGTGGTCCCACTATTCACTGCTCTAAACCTGGAGTTTTTCCCCCTATGGATGTGGGGTTATTTTTTAATATATACATTCCATACTGTTTTATATACCACTTTTTCATTGGATTTTCTTAAGATAAAACCCCAGAGTTGAAATAAACAGGTAAAAGAGATGGGCACTTTTAAGACTCCTGCCCCCCTAGCCGGTTTGGCTCAGTAGATAGTCTGCCTGTGGACTGAAGGGCCCAGGCTTGATTCCAGTCAAGGGCATGTTCCTCAGTTGCAGACTGGATCCCAGGCTCAGGTGGGAGGCAGCCAATCGATGTGTCTCTCTCACATCAATGTCTCTCTCTCTCTCTCTCTCTCTCTCTCTCTCTCTCTTTCTTTCTCAAAAATTTTTTTTAAAAATCAATGGGAAAATATCCTCAGGTGAGGATTAACAACAACAAAGACTCCTGCCAATTTGCAGTCTCATCTTGAAGCCTTCCAGGAGACAATTATACACACTCCTCTAGTAACCTGTGAAAGTACTTATAAAAGTACTATGTTCGAGGAATGCTTTTATCAGTAATTATAGAGATAATAATTCTGATGGTCGCTTCCAGGAAGTTCTTCCTGACTTCTGCACTAAATCCGTTCTGCTAACGTAACTGCACACCTGTTCATTCTAGTCTTGGTTTCAGTGGAAATAAAAACAGCCGCTTCCTATTGCACCTGAGCTCCCAGGAACAAAACTGTTGTCTAATCTCTCCACACCCTCTCAGTGTCCTCTGATACTGGCTTTGCTCAAGGCCAACTGCGACTCACAGGACTTTTCTCCTGTATATGTCCCCAACCTAACGTCCCTCACAGAAAGCCCTCCCATGATAGAGGTATCTCTGATGAAGGCCAAGCAGAGACAAGTATAGAGATTATCTCACTGGCCCACAAGCAACACACTCCTATTTATATACTCAAGACTCAGTGTGGTACTACACTGGAGTGCTGATTCATGGCTTATTGGTTGAGCTGTATTTGACCTTTACTGTAAATAAGTAAAAAGAAAAAAGTTAATATTGTCCACTTCAGAATCTTTTGGGCTTTTCACCAAGAGAAAAATTTTCTTCTATGAATGGATCCCAGATTTATGGGTTCTCATACGAATATGAGTGTGGAGAAGAGAGAAGATTGACTTTCATGATTTGTGAATCTAAAATGAGACGATTATGGCCAATATCTTGAAGTCATCACCTAGGAACTGGCCTTTGGCTTTTGATAGGATGTGCCTTTCTAATGATAAAATAATAAGACTATGGCATTTGCTGGGCACTCACCACATGCCAGGCACCATGCTAAGCATTTTGCTTATATTCCTTTAATTTCTCACAGTAACTATGAAGTAGGTACTATGATTACTCCACTTTTACAGAGGAGAAAACTGAATGACTGAATGTACATGTGCTTAGTTTTTTAAAAGTAAGAAGCAGAATGAGAAATACAACACAATGCCATTTATAAAATTAAAAGACATGCATATAAAACAATACATATTTTATAAGGATACAGGTAAATGGAATATCAAGCAATGTTAGAGTGGTTATTTACAGAAAAGAGAACAGAAGTGCAAAATAGGGATAAAAGGGAATAAATAGATAACAAGAGGGGCCTTGCCCACAAATATGAAGACAATTAGCCATGAACTGAGCAGTACAATGCCTCAACACTCTGCACCTGAAGTCCAACTAAAAAACAAATTACCCTAAAACTTTGAGCAGGGAGGGAGGAATCAATGGCTCCAGGGTACAGGGCCAGAGACCTAGATGTCTTACACCTGTCTCTCTGCAGCAGGGCTCAACTAGTCTGTGAATCTTCAAGTCTTGACAAGATATCTGCTACAGAGCTAAACCTTTTTAGGTTCCAGCATTTTGCCTTCAGCAATTACACTGTTTATCATTGACCTTGGGGAAAAAGTGGATTTCCTATGTTTTTAACATGCCAAACCTAAGTCTGAACTAAATAGCCAGCCATTCATCCATTTGTTCATCAAGTTCTCATTGAGTGTTTATTATGTGCCAGGTACTGGGCCAGGCAGAGGGCAAACAGAGTTGAACAAAACAGAACTCAGGCCTCCATGAGCTCCCAGTTAATGAGCCATTCCCTAAGCACAATCAGGCAGATCTCTCTTCCTGCTGGCCTTTTGCAACCCCACTGTCAGAGCACAGATATGCAGCTAAACTAGAATAAGAATTTCTTACTGGCATTTCTTAAGAAGATTTAGATTTCCACAAAGAAATTGTGTTCTAAAGGCTGACAACACTCATTTTCATTATGGGGAATTTCTTTCCCTGTAGCTAATCTTTCAAAATGGGTTGACCAAGAAGACCAATGCATATAACAAAACCCTAGTAAATGTGGTAAAGTCACAGGAGGTGAATATTTTAGAGACATATCAGGAAGGAGGTCCTTCTATAGATGAGATTGAAATGTTGAAATGGTTTTCTAGTGTGGTGTTAAGGAAGCCACATCCCTAGGAGTTCAGTTTTGGTTTACACTTCTGTGGAGTCTTACTTACCTCAATAGTTTTACAGGTGTCCTCCAACTGGCTGATCACTCCCTGGACTCGATCATTGCTTCCCACAAGGACAGCAATGCCATCACTGAGCTCAGACTAATGAAGAGAAAAGAGGGGTGCAAGATCTTAGGGGTTTTCTAGTCAGCACTGATTGTGAATTAATCATAGTGTTGTCCTCATGGGTTCTTAACCTAGGATCTATAAAACCCAAAGGAGGAACAGAGAGTCTCAGGAGTTCTGTGAACCTCCTAATCTTGTAAGTAAATTCTGTATGGATGAGTATAGAAATGCATTTGTGTGGGAAGAGGCTTCATATTTTTCATCAAATTCTTACCAGATTGTGACCCTGTTAAAAACATTAAGAATGCTAATTATAGGCCATAGGTAGAGAATAGCATATTCAAGCTAAAGAATTCTAAGTATTGTTTATAAATTGAATGGAGTCCAATATGTGACATCAGAAACAGAAAATAAATGATTTTCCAAGTGCAGCTGAGGATTAGTTTTACTAGGGAAATGTATATAGTGACTACTCATTCATCTATTCACTTATACTTATTCAACATATACTTATCATGCACCTTCTATGTGCTAGGTGTACACATACTCGTGTACTAGACTAAGTCACTACAATGTAACTTGAAACTACTAACATTCAACTGGTTCTAGGGGAAATTCCTCTCAGACTCTTGACAAGAAGAGATTCCATTGTTTGTACTTACTCCCTTCCCAGGGTTGGCTAAGGAGCACAAAGGAACACAGAACGGGGAAGTAGGAGATCTACCTGCTTGGTCCAACTCTGCCTTTAACTTCTCTATGATGTTGGGCAAAATGTGCAATCTAATTTTCTCACATTTTAAGTGGCAAGAACAGTGGTTGTAAAAACAATTTAAAGCTGCAGAATGCTTTCTTCAAATGGAAGAAATGGATGAGAGTGGAGCTATTTTGGCCAAATAGGAGCGGGGTAAAAGTCCTGCCATCTATCCTTCTGTTCATCCCACCTGAGTCTCCAGGGCACGGAGGAAAGCAGTGTGAAACTGGTACTAGTCAGTTCTAGTACACTAAGACTAGGGGTGGAAGGAAAGGAGGAATAAATCACAAGTAGAATAAAAAATAAATGTTATAGACATCTTATGAAATACTGTTTTTTTAGCAGTTAGTACTCACTGGTGGGAATTGGTGGTGTTTAAAAGTTTGGCTTCCAAATTTGATCCTCAGTAAAACACTGAGCAAATGTGGAATCTATGATTCTAACAGGAAAAAAAAAAATCAAGGTGTGGAGCTGCTCAAATTCTAGGTGTCTAGAGTGGCTACACCTATTTGAGCACGTGACTCCACATTTATTTGGATCAAATGGGTAAGTTCCTACTTGTCCATGGGTGAGACCATATTGGCAGGTTAGTGGTAAACTGGGGGAGATGCTGCATTTGGTCAGAATGAAAGGACTGAGCCTGAGGCCCTGGGGTGGGGGCACTCAGAGGAGGCCTTTCCTCAACTGGCCTAGGGCAAAAGGCTAAAGGTGGGTTTCACCTAGTGTTGAGGGCCCGCCCAGCAATGTTTTATTTATTTTTTAAATATGTTTTTATTGATTTCAGAGAGGAAGGGAGAGGGAGAGAGAGAGAAAGAGAGAGAGAGAGGAGAGAGAGAATGAGAGAAACATCAGTGATGAGAGAGAATCATTGATCAGCTGCCTCCTGCATACCCCACACTGGGGATCGAGCCCACAACCTAGGCATGTGCCCTGGACTGAAATCGAACCCAGGACCTTTCATTCTGCAGGCCCACGCTCTATCCACTGAAACAAACCAGCTAGGGTCCAGCAATGTTTTAAATTGTTCTTAAAGAAATGCCATTCATTGTATCTCTCCTGTACTAGGAGTGGAGGAAATTGGGGGCCGGGTGGGGGGGAGGGGGCGCGAAGAAATCTTTTGTTGGTAAATGAAGAAAAACATTCTGTGACTGGAGTAAAAAGGTATTTTTTTCTTTTCTGTAGTCTGAACTTCAAATAATGTTTGAGCAGCTGGAGCTCAGATTCCCGTAACTCTGTTCATCTCCAGAAACCTCTAAAGGGTGCAAAAAACAGCAACCCTCCCCACTCCAATCCCCTTCTTGACTGCCCCCCTCCCCCGTCCACCCGACTCCTGCATCCCTTCCCTCTCTGGCCTTCCCCACCACCTCCAGAGACTCAAACGTGAGGTCATGTGCATGCAGCATCCCTTCCCACGGGACCCTCCATCCTTCCTGTCTCAAGGGGCTGCAGAGGAGGGACAGGGGAGAGTCCATTACCTTCTGCCTCTGGAACACGTGAGTGAGGGGAGCCACCTGGCAGTCCTTGTGTGCCCCAAAGATCTTGCACAGAGAGCAGGTGGGCACCTCGCAGTTTAGACAGTAGATGTTGATGCGCTCTTCTTCATGCTCCTCGCACCTGGGCTGGTCGGACTTCTTTTCCGGTCTGGGAGGAGGTAGCAGATAAATGTGTCAGCTCCCAATGGGGCAGAGCCGAGATGGGTGATCAGCATCGCAAATCCCAGCTAGCCCCTGTACTCAACAGCAACCCATTCCAGAGGGCTCCCAGAGCCCTCCAAATTCAGTTTCCTTACAGTGATGTGCCTGGGGTGGTGGAGAATCTGATCTGTAGCATTTGCCAACTTCCGTGGTGTTGAGTATTCCCAGCATGGCAAATTTCAAGTTATAGGGTGTGTGTGTGTGTGTGTGTGTGTGTGTGTGTGTGTGTGTGCGATCAACCAAAGGACTTGTATGCATGCATATAACCATACCAATGGACACAGACAGGAGGGGGTGAGGGCATGTGCTGGAGGGTGGGGGTGATGGGGAGAGGTCAATGGCAGGGGAAAAGGAGACATATATAATACTATATGTAATACTTTAAACAATAAAGAATTAAAACAACAACAAAACTAGTGCAATTCCTGAAAGTTAACACTGGGCTCATGCATTAAGAGCATGCTCCAGCACTGTCTCCAAAGCCCACTATTTTCAAGAGAACTCCTGCCATTAACCCAGAAAGTTAAATGTAAGTAACTTCCTGAAGACTTGGCAGTAGTTAGGAGTGGGCAGTATGTGCTCAGGGAATGTGAACAATTATAATGAATAGGCAATAAGAAAAATGCAAAATGCTGTTCTGGGACATGGTGAGCATTGGAAGTACAAATCTCACAGGTAATCCCCAAGTTTTAGTTTTCCCAACAGGTCAGCAGCTAAAACTGGACATGGTGAGCATTGGAAGTACAAATCTCACAGGTAATCCCCAAGTTTTAGTTTTCCCAACAGGTCAGCACCAGCTAAAACTTTTCGAGCTACAGCAGGTAATAATGGAGCATCGGATTTGTAAATGCTAGAGAGAAGATGAACAAGCAATAAAGAAACCATGAGGGAAGGGTGACAAGTCATTGCTACTTATGGGTAACCTGTTAGCTGTGCAATCACCTGTAGTGTCCCAAATTCACAGCGCATGATAGCACCCTGTATATTCCCCTAACCGTCAGCATGGCTTAGATGTTATGATCAAGATAAAAATTGCACCAAGTTGCCCTAGCTGGTTTGGTTCAGTGGACAGAGTGTTGGGCCACAGACTGAAGGATCCCAGGTTTGATTCCCATTGAGGGCATATGCCCAGCTTGTGGGCTTGATCCTGGCGGGGGGGGGGGGGGGGGGGGAGAGAAGCAGCCAGTCAATGATTCTCTGTCATCATTGATGTTTCTCTCTCTCTCTCTCTCCCTTTTACTTTCTCTCTGAAATCAATAAAAACATATTTTTTTAAAAAATTACACCAAGTTGTAGTGCTTTAGGCTCCCTCTGGTGAGAATGGTGGGAGGTGTGGATGTAGCCAACTCACACAAAAATCTGGAATTTTTATATATCTTCTCTAAAGACTGAGGCTGTTGATAGGTATTTGAAAAATTTAAATACAAACCCAAACCTTGCCGAACATATGGTTATTTAGAAGCATGTCAGATTTGGAACTGAATATTTTTTAGCTGTTATCAAGATCTACTTTAAAAAAACTGCAGGTTTTGATGGGCCATGATATCAACATAGGGGGTTATGACCAGCATTGTTAAAATAAAATAGAATAGTTGGGTTCATCTCATTCTGTATATCCCAGGTTATTCCAGAGTCACCTAATATATCCTAAGAGTCAGGATTCTGAGCTGATAAGGCTTCCAGCTTCTAGGGAACAACTGGGTTTCTGCCCAAATATCTGTCTGAGCCCTTTGTGCAACCTGTAGTTTTGTTACCAAATAAAAATGTCCCAACGGCAAGTCTCAAGTTTAAGAAACAACAGCATAAAAAGAATTCAATAATCACAGAAATACCCTTAGTACACTCAGCTATGAGCTTCATTGCTGGACATTTGGTTCATTGCTTTTATACAATTTGCTCACCTGGACACTATTTTTGACACATGTACCACACAGACTTTATAGTTAACTAATGTGTCTTGTAGTTTTACTAATGCTACAAGTTTTAACATCTCCTCTTCTCTGGACTTCATAACAACTATTGTTATTTCACATGTTTCAAGGTCTTGCTGTGGCAAGTAGAAAAATGGAAAATTATTGCAATAACTAGAACATGTAGGAAGGTACTGTAGTAGGCATGGAATCAGTTATTATATAACCTTCCTTAATAACTGGTTGATAACTCATTGGCTGGTTAACTTTTTTAAAGAGATGGTGTGTGTATTTGCATTTTAAATTAATGAAATACAATGAAATCCAAGCAACAGTAACAATAGGTCTTTCCTTCTTCTCAAGAGACTTTTGACTCAAGGGAAATAGTCGACTACGTATATCTACAATATGTCATCAGCAATCATTCTTCTTCCCCAGTTCCATCTATATCCTGGTGCTATCGAATTTAGTTTTGAATCATAAGCAGAAACTAATAGCTATATAGTGATTATACTAATTATATGTTAGATTTATAAAGCAGCTTTCCTTCTAAGAGCGCAAGGCTCTCAGAGCATGCAGATGTCCCATAAATACATGCCTTCTAATTAGAATCACAATGAGGTCATTTCTAAATGGTCTTAATATTGCTATCAAGCTTTGTGGACCCGCCTGACCTGCATACAATTGAAGGAGGGCTCTTCATACCATGCCTTCTAGGAATGAATTCTCACAGTGTTGTCTTTAGAAAAAGAACTCTGTAGCCAATGTGATTTGATGAAGAAGAAGCCTCCTCCCCTTTAAATGATCAGATGTATATACTGCATATCAATCAATCAATAGGTAAATGTTAATAGTATGCAGTAAATACAATCTAGAGATAGGGAAACATAACCTGAACTCCATCTTTATTTTTCTCCCATGTCTCTACACGTTAAGTTGTGTAAGGCCAGGACTATTATCTTGCCTTGCAATTTCCAGAGTCAATTCCATGACATGTTAGAGAATTTTGTTTTTATTATCATCTAGATAATTTTAAGATGAGACTGTCTGAACTAGGAATGGACTATTGGAAAGGTGCCATTTCTGTAATTTCCTATAAAGTTTTATGCTATGAATTTTTGGCTATGTTGAATCTGGAGCTACAAAGATCCTGTGAAGTACAGAAATGTCCACACTGAATGTAATACAAAGCTTTGGGTGGAGCAGCATTATGCCTCTTTCAATGTCACCATTTGGAGTGGATTGGTGTTGAATTACTTCATTCTTAAATTGATACAAAAGCATGGTCACTATCTCCCTTCTCCCTTCCCATGAGCAACTCTCAATCCCACTGGAAAAGACTGACTTGGAAAAACATTTTGCTATGAAGCAATTAGCCTGTGATTGCTAAACAAGCATTCAGTGTAGTGACTCACTAAAACAACCAACCAAATAAATAAAAACAAGCTTCCAATGGGTTTGATACATGGAAGAACTATACCTGGTGGACTCCTGCTTGTAGATGTCAATGATATTTTCCACCAGCAGGTTCCTCTGAAGTCCATATATCCCATGTCTGTCCAAAACCACTTCATGCCTACAGGATGGGCAGCGGAATCGGCCTCCTGATGCCACCGTGGTGCCTCCTCTTGTGGGCAAGTACGGGTTAGAGGCCTGTTCTTGCCAAGCAAGAAAAGAGGAATTGAGTAATGCCATGGGTAGCTTTTCTGAGACGCCTCTTCATTCTCTGTTACTACAAACATCAACTTCTACTTTAAGCTTGCCATAAGATAATCCCGTAGGGCCTTATCGGCAAGTAGTCCTAAAAGACAGGCCCAGCTCCCACCCACAGTCAACTGCAATGTATCATTTTCACCGTGAGGTTATTTTCCATCCAGTGTTTTCATAACCGAAAGTTCCTAGCCAGAAACTCCAACATTAATGTATTGGATAGTAATTCATTTACAAATTTGAAACAGATTCCATTTAAAACACACACACACAAATTTGATTCGTAGCATTGAAATAAGAGGAGGCTAACAGCAAAGCACAAAGCAAATCATTAATTTTTTTTTCTTGAAAACGAATGCAGCCTTTTAAAGTTTTCTAAAGGAATTCACCTCAAAGTTAAGCACTTGATTCCAAGGAATCTATCCACCCCGACATTCCACACAAACCTACCTGGAAGATATCACTGGCACATTTCCTACACAGGTTATGCTGACAGGGAAGAATGACCACAGGCTTCGTGAACATCTCCAAGCAGATGGGACAGATGAGTTGCTTCTCCAAGTTGTCCATGGTCTGCTGCTCTTTGGAAAAAGACTTATAATTCAAAGATGCGCTCATCTCCTAGCCGTCACGGTGTGCACCGCCAGGGAAGGGGTGCTCCGAATGGTCTCTACAAGGGTTTCCTGGAAATAATTCCAAGGATTGTGTGATCAAGTGTCCTTCATGTTTCTTTTGGTGGAGGACATTGTTTCAGGCCCAGGTTTGGAGCGGGAGCTGGGGCTGTTTTTAGCAGCTGGGGTCACGTGACAGAAGGCTGACTTGTCCATATAAGCCAGTGACAGGAGGACAGATTCTGACAGGTGACAGAGAACAGGAGCCAACATTCCTACCCCAGGGAGTGAAAAGAGTGAGTGGGAAGGAGGATTACACACTCCATTTAGACGGGGTTGTGAGGAGAAGGAGGTCGAAGCAGACAGTTGTCAACAACAAATGCGAATGAGTATGCTGAGGAGTCACAGAGCCCTGCCCTCTGTGAGTCTTTGGTAAGGACATGGTGACGGGTTTCTCCAGGACCGGGAAAAATGCAGCCCAGGCAAGAGTATAACTGTATAGTGAATGCCATTTCTGTCTTGAGAACTTAGAAAGTGAGTTATCCAAGTAGCATGATCATATCATCTCAGGTGAAAATATACCTTGAAAATCATTATCCCAGCTTCACAAGGACAATCATTGAAAATACTTGCTCAGTGTTAAATATTACATCTTCACAAGGGTTGTGGTATGGAAAACATTCTAACTTAAAAACTGATTTCAAATCTTTTCACTATAAAAGTGTCTACAAAGTTAAAAAAAAATCAAATAACAGTGGATGTTTCAATTATTTTTAAAAGCTGTGTAATAAAACTCCAGTGTGTTCTTTTCTGTTTTACATTGCTTTTCCTCTTCCTTAACCTTTTGTCATCCTGTACCCTCACTCTCACCCCTATACACACCCCAAAATACAAAGAAAATGGAACAATCTTTAAAAGGTTAAAGCAGTTTGCAATGACTGTCAGTAATGAGGTAGTAACTGGCACCTGGGGTAGACCCATTATCTCATTTTGATATATGACGGGGGACAGATATCAGTGCCATTGCCAACTGAAGGGAAAATGAAGTCCTGCTTCCATACCTGTTTCTTATCTGGTCTGAAATACCTACACCTCTTTGCATTTGCTTAGTCCTCCAAGTTGATTTTTTAAATGCTAGTTTCCTGGTGGTTTCTGATATTCTTGGTCTGTTCTGTTATTTGCCAAGATTTTGTGAAACAACTGTTTCATTAATATATATTTCATTAAAAATTTTAAATTATATTAAAAATGAAAAAGAAATACATGTCTATTTTTTTATGTGATGAATTTGTAGCTTCATTCCTCTTTGATTTTAAAAACCTCAAATAATGAAGATACTTTGTTAACATATCCCTGATGTGCACTTAATTACCGGTACAGACTATGTAGGTGTGACTGGTTAAGTGTGGTCTTAATGCTGTGTTTACTGAGAGCTTATTGGGAATCTAAAAAGCTCCATTAACTAATAATAAGTTATATATATTCATAAACATATCAGGGATCTTTGGAGAATTTTGTTATTCTTTTCAATATCTATTTAGCAACTATAGTGAAGAAGGGAATTGGTAGAATCTTTTTACTGTTTTAATTCAGTTCAGTCAGCCTGGGCAGTTAATTGTGTTTATTATTGTGTGAGCTATGAAGGTCTGAGCGCAATAAAAGAAAGTTTCTACTCTAAAAGCCCTTGCAACCTAAAAAAAAAACAAAACAAAAAAAAACACTTAGCCCAGCTGGCATGGCTTAGTGGTTGAACATCAATTTATGAACCAGGAGGTCATGGTTTGATTCCTGGTCAGGGCACATGCCCAGGTTGTGGGCTCTATCCCCAGTGGGGGGAGAGGTAGGGGTATAGGAGGCAGCCAATCAATGATTCTCTCTCATCATTGATGTTTCTATCTCTCCCTCTCCCTTCTTCTCTGAAATCAATAAAAATATATTTTAAAAATAATAATAAAGAAAAGCACTTAAACTAATGATATACTATAGTATAGCAGAGTCTGTCCTTATAAGAGGAATTCATTCTTTCAAAAAAACATTCATTGAGTGTTTATCATGTGATTCCATTGTGCTGGGCTCTGGGGATTGAAAGACGAAGTAGACACAGGTCATTGTCCTCAAGGAGCTCAGTCTAACAGTAGAGATGAGGCATGCATATGCAGAACCACAGTATAAGACAACATGTTATAAAGAGCTACAGAATTTCAGAGCTGGAGGAGTTAGGAAGACTTCATGGGTGGGGTAGCATTTGAATTGATCCACTGAGGAATTTAGGTGGGTCATAGGTGGGGCTTCTTAAGAGAAGGCACAGAAGCAAAAACTGTGAGCACAGGAGAGCTGGGAATGCCCAGAGTTGTATGGTGCTTTGGGCTGGAGTACAGAGCATAGTGCTGGCTCATTGGCAGGCCAGGCACACCAGGCTAAAGAGTTTTCAACACTTAATAAATTAGACAACAGGAAATGTTAAAAGTTTCTCAGAGGGATGTTTCCATGAGAGCTGTGCATTGGTTAGATTATAATCTCACAGTGGTGGTTGGAACAGATAAAAGTGACGGTGACCTGGCTAAAGACCAGATGGGAGGTTGTTGCCAATAGCCTGGGTGAAAGGTCACAAAGCCCTGGCACCAGGCGATGGCAGTGGGGAAGGAAAGGAGGAAATGGACTCTGGGTTGACTACAAAAGTAGAACTCACAAAGATGACTCAGATGCCCTGAGTCTGAGCAACGAGCAATGATATGGGAAGCTGCACAGTGAGTCAGAGACAGGCCTCTTCAGCACTGATGGCCTCCTCGCTTTGTGATCTCAGGGGACTGACCTCACCTAGCTGGATTTCAGTTCTCTTGTCGATAAGTGAGAGTACTTCAGAACCTAATTTAGCAGCATGAGTAAGGAAACCCCCCTCCCCTCTGAAACAGTATTAATTTTGACATAGAGAATCCCCAATTTGATTACTTAACATAGAGTTGATCCCTATCCTCTCCTCTTTTTCCCTCTGCTCCTTCTTGCTCTCTGCCTTTTACTGTTTCTTAGAATTGCCTCTGGAGGCTACACAGGAAACTAGAAAGAATCCCATAGGAATATGAATGAAGTTGATGGGTAATTATTTCCTTTTCCTCCTCATCTAATTTTCTCCATTCCTCCATCCTCTCTACTCTCAGAGACCAGCAATCTATACGGTGGGCATGTGAGTTGAGAATGGGACATGGCAGTAGCACTCTATTCTAGGGAGGAACCAAAAATTTTTAGTCCACTCGCAAATCATTCACAGAGTCTAGGAGACAGGTAGAATTCCAGAACTGAATCAGAATTAAAGTCTGGTTCAAGTCATTGGGATTTGGAGTGGACTTGGGCCTCCACAGAGACATGAAAACCAGCCTAATCTCCTGAAGGTATCCTGGACTCTATAGGAGTTGGTGCATGACTTCCTCCCCCTTTCCTACCCCATCCCTCCCCACACTAGGACAAGGGGTTGAAGCCAAATGGGAGCAATTAGTTGAAAGCCCCAACTTCCCCTCATGCCTGAGTCTCACTAGACTGGGGCAGGAGTATGTTTAGACATTTAGAAGCTGAAGCAAAACCACCACTGCTCTCACCTCCTCCAGCAATTTCCCAATACCCAGGTAAGTCAGAGGACGAAAGATGGGGGGTCTCTAAGAACCTGAGTAATTCATCAAAAAACAACAACAGAGAACTTATGGTCAGATAGAGCTAAAGGGAAGTAAAACATAGATACAGTTTGAAGTAAAGCAGCAAGGCAGAGAGGCCCTGGTGGTGTACTGGGCTGCATATCTGGCACTTCGGCCAGATGGGGCATGCTGTGCTGTCTGTTCCTAAAACACATAGATAGGAAGGTACTGACATCAGGCCAGGCCTTGAGATATAGTCTCATGGCCCCTTCCTGGCACTCTGTACTCTCTGTTCCTAGAACATATAGATAGGAAGGTAGTCACTGTATGATGCTATACTGTGTCGAGAACTAATTATGTAAACAAGGCTTTGTAACTAACTTTGTGGTTTTTGCAAATGAAATTGCTGTAATTCCTATAGTCTGGACTGCAGTTCAGCCTTTGCTTCGGCAGGGTGCTGTAGCTGTAGTCAGCTGGCCAGCTTAATAAAGGCTCTTAAATTTAAATTCTGAGTCGGTGGTCTATCTCGCTGAGTGAACCCATAACAGTGGAAGAGAAAACAAGAATTGCCTTATAACACGGACTCAACTCATGGCATCTAGAAAATACTTAACATTTTCCTCTGTCTACATTGTCAGTCTTTTCAGTTTAGCTGTCTATCTGCCAATAGACAGTTTGGATATGTGGTTTTTAAATTTTTAATGAAAAAAATTTACAAAATCTAAAATTAAAGAGAAATGAACTACTTTGAAAAGTACTTAGCAGAAGCCAACACTATGGCATTTCTTTCATTATATAGTTTGCAGACTTCTGGCTGAAAGCTTTTTTTTTTCATATTGATAATTACTCCTTTTCCAGATCTGTTGTTTATAAATTTTACTTCATCATAAATATCTCTGAGGAAATGTTTGAAAGCCAACATATTGTACTTCCCTCTGAATATTCCTTGGCATAATCCACATGCCAGAAATAAACAGTGACTACCAAAAAGGAGCAAATATTTTAGCTAAGGCTTTCCATTGGCATGTCTGAACGCCTCACCTTGGCTCCAGGCCCTCCTTGACTCCATCCTCAGCATATACAATCCCCCCCTACCTCCCTTCCACCCCAGTGTCCTAATTGATTTCTCTGAATTCACTCTTGCCTTCTGCAATCTATTTCTCATATGTCACTCCCTATTTAAATCCCATTAATGGTCTTATTACCCCTAGGATAAAGATATTAATCTTTCCTGTGGTCCCTAAGGCCTGATCTGGCCCTTACTTATCTCTCTGACCTAACTACCCAATAGAAATAAGATCTGAGTGATATATATGAGCTATATATATGATTTAAATTTCTAGTAGCCACATTGAAAATCAGAAACAAATAGAATTATTGCATTAATATATTCTATTTAACCCCCAAACATATAAACTATTATCATTTCAACATGTGATCAATATTTTTTTAAAATGAGATATCTGTAGAGATAGTTTTACTTCTTCCTTTCCAATCTAGAAGTGTTCTACTTCATTTTTCTTGCCTTATTATACTCACTAGAAACCCTAGAATGGACATCCTTGCTTTGTTCCTCATCTTAGGAGAAAAGCATTCATACTGTGAAGTATAGTGTTAGCTGTGTTTTTCATTGATGCCCCTTATCAGTTTGAAGAAGTTCCCTTCCCTTCTAAGTCTACTGACAGTTTTTAAAAATCTGGAATGGATGTTGAATTTTGTCAAATACTTTTCAGCATCTATTGAAATGATCACGTGGGTTTTCTTCTTTAGTCTGTTTAGTATGATGAATTAATGTTGATTTTGGAATGTTGAACCACTTTTATATTCTTGGAATAAATTCCACTTTGTCATGAATTCCATTTCACATCCAAGTTACTGATCCTGAGATCTTGTTTGAATTCTTGCTCACTCATCTGCCCTAAACATGTGTTCTCCACCTTGATTTTGGGTGCATACCTTCCCATTCTTTTGACTTATTGCTCATTTTTTGTTCTTTTAGTAATTTATAGTTTCACTGCCAGCTCCTCCTGTCAGCCATATAGAACACCCAAAACTTGGGACATATCATCTGATAAAATGATACCCTAACTTTGTAATTTGTTTTCCCCAAAATGATGAGGGTATATTTTAAGTGAATCACTATACATTTCATTGAAAGACTTTATTGAAAAGAATAAAATGAGATAAAAAAAACAAAACACTGTCCTAGAAAATGAAAGATATACCAATAAAATACAACAGATTGTACACATTGGTAACAAAAATGTACAGGTTGCCTAGAACCCTAAAATGGACATTGGATAAAAGAATGATCATTTGTTAATTGTAATCCTCAAAAACAAATAATACCTCCGCCTTTGTCTAGAAGATTTATTTTTGTGTTTAGAACTGCAGTATGAGTTCAACAGTTTTTTTGTGGCTGTCGTCTAGAAAATTAGGGTATGGAGAACTTATTGCCAGAAGAGCCTTTGTGTGTATTTTGCTCAATCTCTGAACCTTTCAGTGAGTGTATGTGTGTTTTTGTTTAACTTTCCTCTAATTAGTCCCCTTGGTGCTGATCTCTCTTTAACTCTCCACAGTTATTTCCCAGGAGAAAAATGGCATTAGAACTCTCCTCCATCAGCAAGCGCTGGGTTCAGGCCGTTCTCCATTTGGTCACCTCTCCTAGGTACACATTACCTTATATTCAGATTTGCCCAGAGCCAGCCACCTCACTGTACACAGTTGAGATGGAGCAGAATAGTCCTCGCTTCCACAGCTCAACCTAAATTTAAAGTAGTCAGCGCACTTTTCCAAGTTCTCTGTTTTTTGTTTGTTTTTTGCTAGTGTTTATTTTCCATCTGTCAGCTATTCTAACTACGGGCAGCTTAGTCCTGGATGAATCCCTGGAAGTGCAGCCATCAATCGCAAAGGAATTGAAATGGCAAGATGTGACTGCAATCTGTCACCATTTTAGGAGAGAAAAAAACAAAAAACGATTTCGTGAACTTCCCAAATAAGTGGGTCTAAACTTTTAAAACTTGAAGGATAAACGTCGTGCAACCATAACCCTTGTCTGAAAGTTTTATAGAGGGGTAACTTCAAACTAAGCTGTACCCTTCACTTGCCCTATGGCTGACTTTCAGCAACATTTTGAGAATCCAGAGGGAAAAAAACGAGGTTAGAGGGGGGGAAAAAAAAACTGGAGGATGCGGGCATCGATCCCGCTACCTCTCGCATGCTAAGCGAGCGCTCTACCATTTGAGCTAATCCCCCACCGCTGGCTGAGGCGCCTTATCTCTTCCCCTAGAGAGAGGTCAGCATACGTAGTCACGAAGATAAACATACTTCGATCACATTCCTGACCTTCCTCACCACCGAGGCCAAAGAAACAAAACACAAGCGCCTCTCCTTCGAGCCGGAATCGAACCAGCGACCTAAGGATGACAGCGGGCTCGCACCTACAGTCCTCCGCTCTACCAGCTGAGCTATCGAAGGGAGCGAAGGAACTTTGTCCTGACTCTTCCCATAACTTCTAGATATTTCCTGACTTTAGTGTACTTTCTACCACGTTTCCTTCCTGATTTCCAGGTCCCTGGAGCATAAAACCTTCCACGCAGCCCTCCCACCTCCTCCGGCAGCCGGCGGCCGCTGGCAGGCGCTCGGGCGCCCGCCCTACCGGGGACGCAGAGGAGGCGGTCCGCGGCCCGGGAGCCGGCGGAGCGACCGCGCTGGCTTTCTCCGCGAGGCTCAGGGCCCGCACACGCCCAGGACGACCTGGACACACGCAGAAGGCTGCGTCCTGGCACCTCCGGCCGAGCGCAGACTCACTGCCGCGCTCGGAACTCGGACAGCACTGCGCGCTTCCGGGATTCGCAAAAGGCTTCACAAGGGAGCCGCTGCCGTGGGCCCAAACTGGAGCGCAAGCGGTAGAAATTCCAAATGTTCTTTGTAATGTAATGTATATTAGAGAAATGTAACCACGGAAAGGACTTGAACCACAGAAAGTTGGTGGAGGGAATAAAAAGAACGCTTGTCTCCTTCGAGCCGGAATCGAACCAGCGACCTAAGGATGACTCATGATCCGGAAATCAACTACAGTCCTCCGCTCTACCAGCTGAGCTATCGAAGGGACGGGCGACGGAGGTCCGCCTCCTGAGATTCAATATAAAAAGGAGCGCGCGCCCAACTTGAGACGGAGGCGGATCTGCGCAGGCGTAACACCGGGGCGGAGCGGGACGTGCTGCGTCGTTGTGCGCGTGCGCAGAAAGGTAGCACGGCTTTGCTGGCGGGAGCTCCGGCCTGGGGTGTCCAACTCGGGTGTCCGAGACGTGTGGTGCCAGGACTCAGGGACCCCGACGCCAGCCCCGCGTGCCTGGCGCCCTTTTCCTTTACTGCCGCCGGTCGGGCGGTGACCGCCTGATAAGGCTCACGACTCTATGGTCTGTATGCCCCGCCCCACCGCTCCCCTGCGCCAGGGGCCAGTGGCGCAATGGATAACGCGTCTGACTACGGATCAGAAGATTGTAGGTTCGACTCCTGCCTGGCTCGGCGTTTTGTTACCTCCCGTTTTAAAACCACAGATGATCACAACAACCCCCCACACTGTGTCCCCCTCCCCGAGAGCATGACTATGGCTTTCTCTGGCTCCTCCAAACCACAAATGCCCAGAGTGGTTTACGGCACTTTGGCCCTTCGCACCGTCGGCCTCAGGAGATGCTGAGAGCTGGGGACACGGACGCGACCCCGAGGCCAGCCGCCCTGCGGGCCGTGGAGGACAGAGGGGCCGCCCCCGCGGGCCCAGGTGGGA